AACGCCACTGAGTTTAAAAGGCCCGAAAGGTAGAGATACGAAGACGGGACTTTTGGTAGGGAGGCAGATCGATTAAATGGGCAGTGCTCACGGTGGCTGAAGTGTGGTATCGAAATGACATCAGCTAGTTTGTCGCTGCAGTTCAGTTCGAAAACTGAGATATGGATTGCAGACCATGTGGAACTCAGAGCAGGCGCCTTCGTTGAGAAAGCAGCGCTAAATGAAAGCAATTCTCAATCCGAGACAGGCGAGGAGAGTTACCCTTGTTGGCGTAAAATGCGCGGTTTATAAGCTGATTGTAAGCATTCCCCTTTTGCGACCACCGTGAAAGTCCTCTCTGTTGTACAGGAGGGGCCTTCTAAACGCCTGGAAACGGACAACTACTGTAGCCTAGCACGATTTCTAGTAGCGATGGAAAGAAGGACTAATTAACAATGGCTACTCCCCACACAATTCTTTGACACTACGATGAAAACAGCGGAAATCAACGCCTGGTTCATACATTTAGACCCAATAAGGCCTCCAAGTCCAAAGAATACCCTCAGAATTGACGATAGCGGGCCGGTGCGAAGCTTAAACGTACGAGGCTGAATGTCTGCATACACAGAAGTGGGCTCAAGTGATAAAAGGGACCTTAATTTCAATCCCGACTCAATCTCTGAGGACATGGTCCGAGTTCCTCCTCTTTTCCCACACACCACGTCCTCACTTCGACGGCATCTGGTCACGTAGTCGTGTGCGATGTGGGGTTTACGGCGTCTCGCCTTCTGGCCAACGTGGCGGTCTCGTCGTTGTCTGCGGCCTCGTTTCAGAAGCGCCGTTTGTTTATGGAAAGCGTTCGCTGGCGGAGGACGTGAGGTCGGTCGTAAATTTCCGTGTGGAGACGTGGCACCGCCCTCTTGCCGATTCCCAGACCCGCCTAGCGCCTTACCGTATACCGAAGCGACGGCGGCATGAACAATTATCTGCCCGTAAACCTCCAGCAATTTCTAGTTCAATCGTGGCCTCGAGTTCGTTGGAAAAACGATTTTATGACTTGTTCATGAACTAAGTGCTCGTCTAATTTCAGGAAAGTACGTATTGTGTGGGAGCAATTAATCGATAATTATCAGATTCTTAGGCAAGTGTATAGGACGAACACGGGTATGAGGACGGTCCACAGCTCATCTGAACCACCAGTTCCATAGAGGACTTTAGAGCGAACCAGATCAGTAAACTTTCAGCTACAGTAATCCATGAATTACAAGCGAAGACTGGAGACTTCAACGGATAGAGGAAGGAGTACAAGAGAAGGATGCGTTCAGCCCGTTACGAGAGTTCTTCCATTGAAGGTCCATTTCCAGGGAATCCCCTCATCCTTTTCCAGGTTGCTTAGCCTCGCAATTCGAATTGGCCATATGAAAAGGTCAGTTAGCCGTTATTCCTCTTCAGGAGCTTATTTGCGGAAACTCCTTCAGGTTATATAAACCAGCCTGGTTTCAAGGAATGAAGAATCTTCTTCTTCTCATTATTTAGCGTCTGTCCGACCTGGTGACGGGGTCCGCTTAGTGCAAGGATTGGGAATATTGGCCCTCATTCCAAACTGCTCCTACAGAGCATAAAACTCGCAATACTGTAGCAAGATATGACTAGCCGTTTAATATACAGAAGGGTTGGAGCCAGGCATCTCCGAAAAAAGCATAAACAGGTATTTGTTGGTAGAAACCCACGTCCTATCAGCTGAACGGCTAACTACGTCCACAACTAGCTGGCTGAAGGCTAATCCGTTACCTTCTATCTAATACTTCAGTTTTCACTAGTTCACACAACCAATGCGGCGACATGAAAGATCATGACGGAATTGATGAGTTATGGTAATGACGCAATGTGAGTCGAGCACAACTTTGCGACACTCTCAGTGAGGTCATCCAGGACGGTGGCGACAAATTAGAGACCCCCTCCCTTACATCCATCACCGTACCCTCACGTTTCACTCAAGACTCACCGATTTTGGAACCAGATTTTGATTTGACGTTCCGTGAGATTCAACAACGTGGACAGCTCAGCTTTACGTTCTGACGTCACAAACGTGCTCGTACAGAATTCCTGAAACGATTCACTGATTACAGTATTCACAATACTCCTTTGTTTCTGAGATTCACTTACTTTTTCAAGCTCAAGTCGCTTGGTAATCAGAATACACCACTCACGCATATTTTGTCGATGTCGCGCACACCGTCATCTGCAAATTACCGTAATCCAGCCCAATTCCTGTGGATAGTGGTGTCTTTAAACAGTTGGTTCACTGTGGATGCGGCCAGCACCAACACCCCACACATCGCGCAACCTTGACAGTTGTTTTCCTTTCGTGGGAGTATGTAAGCTGGCTCCACTTCACCTGGGTCAGAAGTGAAATCGTTGACCAACACTCAATCAGGGTAGAAATTCTTGGCTTCAGGCTTTCAGCAAGTTGACCTCGAAATTTGTGCTTAGAAAATGGTAAAAATACTGATCTTCATATCAATTATCAGTTAATCGGACAAATTTTCGATACTTGATAATCCCGAAGCTGAGAAGTCATATGTAATCATTTTTTAACGTTCCATTCTCCAAAGGACCAACAAGGTGGGTACGCCGCGAGCGGATGCGGCGCGGATGTTCTGCGAATATAGCACAATTCACACTAAGAGAGTAGGTAATTGACCCAGCAATTATTGTTGTAGCACTGACTGAAATCCTGGGGTTTGTCTTACTTATTTACTTATTTATTTTGTTTTATTTTCGGCAAAATTATAGTGAACTTGAAGACGGCGAAAAAAGGAAAAATCCAAGATTAAAGAGTATTGCTGGCAAAACGTCACCAAGGAGTAGATCTCTATTCTGATTTCTTTTCAATGAAACTCCTGAATTCAGCTTTTGCTGGGATTGACCCTACTGCTTTGTGCCTTCCCCCGTCCCCCCGTCTCTCCCCGGCTATCTATTCGCGTCCTAACCTCGCACAGTAGCAATCAGTTGAATTATTCACGCATTGGTCTTAACGCCTTGACGGAAGCGCCGTCATTCAAATCGATCAACTGCGTTTATCAGTTGCTTGTGCACGGCTTATCAATTCAATGAGAATTCGAGAGCACCACGGGTAGCTGCCACTGTGCCGATAAAGGCCTCGACCACCATTTCTAGGCGTTGCGGACGCCAGAGTGCTTATCAGTGAGCGGGCGTCGTTGTCGGGGCCTAAAGGCGACAAGCCGACGTCGTCAACAGCACTAATTCCTTCGAAGGTGTCACAAAATGTGTTCCAGTCACAAATAAATTTATATGACGACGTTGTAAATCAAGGCTATTAAAATGATTGTTACAAAAGATTACGGTAATTGGGAACGGAAGTGCAAAGCTAGTCTACAAAGACTATGACCACACAAGTGGATTAGGAGAGTGCAAAAGCACTTTTATCGATTTCTTGAGGCTCAGAATCGCAATCATCACACCACTTCAATGCTCTACATAAAGCTGAAATCGATGGCTGACTCCAGGTTATCCATGGAAGCTTAGCTACGGTTTACTTGAACTTTCTTCTATAGGTCCTGCCACGAATGGCGGAGAGCACAGACGATTAGAGAATGGCGCCTGGCTCGGCTCCAAATCCCAAGGAGGAAGGTGAGAGCCCTAGGACTAAGCCTTGTAAGGGGGGGACTCTAGGGTGGGTGAGCCAATTACATTGTGGCAAAAGTTTGAATGTGAGATCACAGCGCAATTAAGTGGGGTCATCCCACAGGCTATTTTGGGAATGTGCGAAGTGACCTGCCGTGCGCTACAGTAATCCGCTAATTACGCTACCGTACTCAGCTCTAGCAGCTTCAAACTAAGTATCGCCACCCCAAAGGAGGCCGGCTGCAAAGCGGGGAATGACACTTTTATGAAATTTTATGAGGGTCTGTGGTTTCGGGCACAATTATTGGCTATTGTAAATAGGTGTTATAAGACATGATCAACGATTTGTTGGC